CTCCGTTCAATAGATATACTTTAAGAAGAAAAAGACTGGTGGAATTTCTTTTAACACTACAGCACCCTTGACTCACATTGATGAGAAACTCTGTTATCAAATCCTGCATGAATACAAGATCCACAATGCTGAGGTATGAGTTCCAACTTTAATCTTGTATCAGTCTAGCCTCAGACAAGCTTTCTGTTGCTTGTCTTGTCTTGTTTGAATACAAGTAGAATCATGAAAAATTTCAGACACTTCTGATTACTTTTAAAGCTTTCTTATGGTAGTTTCTCTTTGCTGACAGAGGTCTAAATGAATTTTTTGGTGAGTATTGCAGATACTATTTCGTGAGAATGCCACAGTGGATGACTTTATCGATGTCATTGAAGGCAACCGCAAATATATTAAGTGTGTTTATGTCTACAACAAAATAGATGTTGTTGGAATTGATGATGTGGATAGACTAGCACGGCAGCCAAATTCAATTGTTATTAGCTGCAACCTAAAGGCAAGTTCTATTACATTGGAACGACCAATCTTTAGTTGTCTGAGGATGGCAAATGCTAAAACTCCAATTTCGGTCCTATTCTAGTTTCTTTTTGCATTCTGAGTATGACATGCAAATTTTGTGAATATTTTACTCGAGCACTCACTGGGGTCTAACGGTGAATGGTTGTGTGCTTGCAACAGCTTAACTTAGACAGACTACTCGCAAGGATGTGGGACGAAATGGCCCTTGTGAGAGTTTACTCGAAGCCTCAAGGCCAGCAACCAGATTTTGATGAGCCTTTTGTCCTCTCATCTGTAAGTGTATTATTTCCTCATTGCAAGATACCCTTGAAAGTTGTCAATATGATAATCATCTTTAACTACTTGTGTGATTCGTTAGGATCGAGGTGGCTGCACAGTTGAAGACTTCTGTAACCACGTCCACAGGACTCTGGTGAAGGATATGAAGTATGCCCTTGTGTGGGGCACAAGCGCAAGGCACAATCCTCAGAATTGTGGTCTTTCTCAACATCTTGAAGACGAAGATGTTGTTCAGATCGTCAAGAAAAAGGTACATAAACGAAAAATCTTTCCATTGACATAGACTAGTCTCTCAAATCTATGGAATTTTGCTCTCTGTTCCATGATGAGGTTAGCTAAAACTTATGCTGCTGATTCTGGAATCTTTAGGAGAGAGACGAAGGAGGAAGAGGCCGGTTCAAGTCACACTCAAACGCCCCTGCTAGAATTGCAGACCGAGAGAAGAAAGCTCCTCTTAAGCAATAAGCTTAGCTTATCAGTGATCCCCATACAGTCATATATGGTTTCACCTGAGTAAGATTTACTATGTTGTATCTGAATCATTTTTGCCTACCGTCACAAACCATTTACTTTTCGAAGAATACAAATGGAAGTATAAGTTCCTCCTATTTGCCCGTTTTCAGAAATTTTGTTTTTGATTCTTTAAATATTCCAAGTAAACAATGAAATGCATACATAGTGAAGGTTTACAAACGAGGAACCTAACCAGACTCAGGCTCCAACTTACTAGGAAGTGGCCCAAGTAGCCAAACACTTCACGGCTTCACGCAATAACCCTCATCACTATTCTTATATGTAAACGGTACACAGAAGCTGTTTCGTGTATCTATAGTTCGTGTATATGTTTCACAGGAACCGTTCCTTAAACAAGACAGAAAGAGAAACCAACAGGCTGTTGAAAATGACTTGTAAAGAATCATCATGGCTCGTTCTTTTAGCTTCGCTTGCTCTTGGCCCAGACATGTCTTCCAGTTACTATCCCCGGTGGGTATAGATCAGTACAGTGGTCTGAACCAGCACTGCGTCTTGCATCTCCATTGCAAGATGATCCTGATTGTCTTTGTTTGGCATGAGTAGATTGTGTCAGGCTCATGTAGCTCGGCTTTCGATAGTACGCACCACCTTCAAGAACACTGCTGGAGAATGGAACTGGTGACTGAGATGTCGACGAGGTCGATGTCTCATCGTGTAAAGAATCAGAACTCATGCCAGATGAAATCGGTGGAAGAATTAGAGGAGGTCTAGCAAGAACTCTAGTTGAAGTAAGATTGTTCTTCCTGACTTTTACAGTCTCATGTTCAGACAATACACTGCTCTCACTACTTTTCCTTGAAAATGTCCCAACATCGTCATACCAGTTCCAACCAGGACTGCTCTTGCGCGAACCATGATGCTTTATCGCTCTTGCGTTTGGACTTGGGCACGTCCTCGACTGCCAAAACAACCAAAACAAACTCACTCAGACATTACTACAATCAGTGAAACACTTTTGAGTTTTGTTCTGAAATTATAGACAACCTGATGTGTGAGAGCATAAACCATAGCTCGTTCCCTCTTAATAGCCCCTTCTTGCTTCATTTGTAACTTTGTTTTCCCTTCCTTAATACTTCTTGGGCTACCACACCAACCCTTCTATAAAAACATCAATCAGAGTCCCATATTATAGTCCACAAGGCTTACTCAAAAGTCAAAACTGCTGAGTTTCCCCAGTTATTGATTTAATCTTTACCTCGGTCTGCTTTGCAGGATCTTTCAGTCCAGTTGAGTCTGAAGGCGCTCTGCGATGAGCTCTCACACGAGACTGAACACGAACAAGAGCTTGCATACATCTGAGTGTAACGGCTGCTTGTTTTCGAACTTGTCTACCACGAAATATTGCTTGGATTCTCACTACAGCCTTCAAAGCTCTAAACGCTTGTCTTGCCTGAAAACCAAACAAACACAGAGGGCTTTTAGATGATAGCATCAGACACAAAACAATGAGCCATTAGAAGCGGAGAGATGAATAAAGCGTTGATGGAAGAACCACAAAAGCAATGAATAATTTGGGAGTAGATGTTGCTAATTGGTTATTTCACTTATATTCAAAACAAATTGGGCTCTCTACAAGATAAAGTGCACACCTTTTGAATCAGATTCAAAAAGGTTAAAACACAATTAGCAGCAGCTAAATTATCGACAAATTGGTCAAAATTCACATACCAAGAAGGCGCGAAAAGCAGCTTGGATTCTTGTTGAAGCCCATTCTCTCTTAACCAACAAGAAATCCTTTGGAGGAGCTCGAATGAGAGCTGCCATTGCAACAGTGAAAGCCTCATCGGCCGAGAAGGAAGGTGGATCTGAGCCTAACGAAGAAAGTCCATAGCTTCCTCGGCTCTTGAAAAAACCTTCCTTTGAGGAAGAAGAAGATGAGAAGCTCTCCGAAGAAATCCTCCACAACTTCCATTTCTTCTTGCTGCTCTTATCACTCAACTTCTCCAGCTGCAATTAAGAGGGATAAAATGTTTGGTATATAGTACAAGAGTGAGAGAGAACAGAGATACACAACATTCAGGAGATCGAAGCTTTTCTCTCTAGATTACCTGATCATCGACAGGTTTTCTGTTAGATATTAGTGATCTAATCCAATTTCCTGACCCACCCATTTGCTCTTTGGTTTTCAAATTCTACTAAAAATCAAAACTTTAGAAGCTACCGATTCACAAATTCGAAGCTTTAGAGCTGCGATGTGGGGGGGGGGGGTGGGCGAAATTTAGAAAGATTGTTTCTGGGAATTGGTTTGTTTGTGATTGAGATTGATGTTGACAAAAGTTCTCATTGTTAAAAAGTAGAAAAAGAGAGAGATAATGTTTGAAATTTGAAAATTTTGGGGAACGAAAGCAATTTCTTAAAATTAACGGTAACTATTCCTAAAAGTTTTTCTCTTTAATACTGTTCTTAAAGTTTCTTTAATGCCCCTATTGTTTTCTCTCTCTCAATTTTTAACCCCATAAGTTAATAATGGTAACATTCTGGTATTGGGTCGGGTCGGGTTGTACGGTAACCGACCGGGAAGTGTCAATTCGATCTACTCGTTGATCTGTTATTCAATCGGACGGTCCACATTAGTACACGTTGTTTCCTCCATTACCCAACAAAGTCGTCTAGAAACCAAAAAGACAGGATCGAAGAAGAAAGCAGGGGACAGGAAGATCGATCATCCATGGCGGAACCAAAACAGAGCTCTCTTTCTGGTAACACCGATTCTTTAATTAATATGATACTTCCCGCGTCGAATTCTTCTATTTGCTTTATCGAATTTAGAGTTTCTTTATGTAATCGAATCACGGAGCTTTTAGGGCTTCTGTAAAAGATGGTTGATTT